CACAGATATTATCGACACGATATCGTCTTCTGGCCAGCTCCGAATGAACAAAGCTCACAAGATAAAAGAAAGCCAATCTTCAATTGGAGAGAAGAAAGTACTTGCAAATTTACATTTAAATCCGCTATATTTGGCTGGTAGTGATCCCATAATCATGAGAACCATTCAAATGGATACGTTCTCGCCAAACGAAGTATTAAGTTTAAGAAGAAAGCTGGGGCCCTTTGATGCTGGTAAGACGAACCCTTGTGCGTTTTACCCGGATAGAGATCAAGCCATTTACAACCTTATGGAGGGATTGGATATAGATTTCATAGAGGAACCTATACAGGGTAAGTTTTTGTTTGTTCAGGAGGTGAACCAAGATGGTGCCTGACAGAGGTTTAATTATTTTAAAATACGAAATGTCTTTTCTACTTTGTGTTCAACCGAGAGAAAATCAAGGCACTCTCCTTGAACTTCTCTTGATTTAACTTATTTCTAGATAATTCTTTTTGAGTGGTTAGAAAACTTTAGATTTTTGCCAGAACTCATCAAATCGTTTAGCTCAGGAACCTTAACTGCTACACATTGTTGTTAGTGCAGGGCAGAATATTAGTCCCTGTTGGCTGTAAACTTACAGAAAACAGTTCGCCCATTCCGATTGAAATGTATGCTTCTGTTTCAAATTTAAGTTCAATTTAAGTTTTAGCCTTAAATGCAACAATACTTGGAAAAGTTTGGTTTCTTGTGCAGTCCCACAAGTAAATTTTTGCAATCAGTAAAAAGTAGGTAAGTAAGGGGCATGGTCTTGTTATGATGCCCAGTATAATATCTTCTAAAGCTAGGTGAATTTGTTCATTTTTTGTCACTGACCAATAAGCTTCATTATTATACATTGCTCTTTTCTGATTGGCTGAAAGGGTACAGTGAATTTTCGAAATCAGCGCCTGTTACGTCATCTAGCTGCAGATTATACAATAATCATGTCAAGGACACTCAAGGTCACGGGTAATCAAGTCATGTTTGACCGCGGTGCATGATTTCTAAGGGTAATCATGTCAAGTTCGCGCACTTTGTGTTGTTTGCCGTCAGTGAAGAAGCAGAAACATGACTTCCATTTTGTTTTTCGTTCAATGTATTGGTAAGGGTTATCAGCCTCAGCCTTCGGCTTCGGCTGATAACCCCTACCTCGACCTTGATTATTC